TATAGCAGTCTAGGTAATCATAGCTGTATGATTCACGAATTCAAGAACAATAGCATTCACATGGCCAATCGATGTATTACAATAGAGAATTCCAGCAGAAAAATACAACCTACCTACTAAGGTACCCAGCTGAGCGGGAATGTTTCTGTTTCGTCGTCAGCTGTTTCTCATCCCATTTGAGCCCTCCAGCTCCATTAACTAGGTACTTACTCACTAAACCCTCCCCCCTGCCACGCACATCCACTCACTCCACTGCCAGATAGCGTGCTCTCTAGTGGATGCAAACCCCTGAACCCGCTCGTCTACTTAATATGGGCCTATCACAGGCCTCGACACATCCATCTCCCTGCCTGAACCGGCCATGTCGAGGCGCGCCAAGCCGTATATGGTTCCGCTAAGCTTTTTCTCCGTTGGAGTGATTGGCCTTGGCCCTCTCTGAATCGGAACTGTCAAGCTACCTACGCATTAGAGCCTCTGGACAAAAGTGGTTGTGGGAGATTCTATTGGCGGCACTCTATTATATGAAGAGTCCTGACTTGTTCAAGGCCCCCCTTGGCTATTGTTTCGGAATCTTTAGCATGCACGAGCACTAGCTCTAGCATCCATCTGATCTCTGAGCATGAACTGATAGAAGCAAGCAGCAAGCAACACAGCGCACCCAAGGCCCCAAACGAGACAAGGGGTGGGAGAGGAACAAAGAAACATGGCTAGTCTCGTTTCTCAAAATAGCTTGGCGTTCGAAAGGAGAGGCTGTAAGACATTCCGGTCCATATCAGAGACATAAACTTATACATAGCTCCCGCATTCCCTCCTCTCCTCTCCTTGGAAGCCCTTCCTTTTGCTAGACCATTACCAACCTCACTCTTTTTTTTTTCGTTCTCTCTCTTTCTCTCATTCTGTCTCTCTCTGTGTCTCTGTCTCTATCTTTGTACTTTCCTTTGACTTGGCTTCTTCCGTCTTCAGTGTCTGGTTACTCTGAGGCTGAGCTGTTCTTGGAAACTTGGAGAAGACACATCCACTCCTTGACTTCTTTCTTGGCTGCATTCGTCGCCATCGCCATTCAATCCTTTCGGTAGCTGGCTGGCCGTCCTTGTTTTATCATTCTCTTCCATCCACTCTCTTTTGCCTTGCCTTGGTTTTCGTTGCTGGTTTCCTATTGACTAGGAGCAGTAATTATATCGCTGGACTACCTACCTTACCTACCTCCTTGGCGGCGTCAGTGTCAGAGCTATTGTCACTCACTTCAATAGCCTCCCCCTCCAGCCCTCCCTCCACTTTTGGCTGGGGATTCTCTCGTTCAGACAATAGGTGATGAATGGTAGTTCACTGATCTATTGTTATAAATCGTTTGTTCATTGCACTCGACCTTCTCAGGACATCAGCCTCGCTCTGGTACAACGTCTGTCTCTGTGAACGACTTGATCGCGTTCTCTCCTTCACTCTCAAAACTTCAGCTTCAAATCAGAATCGATCTTGCGAATAATTGACTAGAAACAACACACCTCTTCTCGTCTTAATTCTTTTTCTCCAAAGACTCCTCCCCTCAGAAGCAATGCATTCCTCCATCCTCGCGCTGGGCCTCACGGCCTTGTTCAATGGTGCGTTTGCACAGAACAACTCCTACTCTCAGTACTCCCTCAAGACCACATACGACTCTTCCAACTTTTTCGAGGCCTTCGAGTTCTTCAATGAAGAAGATCCCACACACGGCTTTGTCGACTACGTCGACGCCGACGCCGCCAACTCTGAGGGTTTGGCTGGCTATGTCGATGGTGCTGTCTACATGGGCGTAGACTACCAGACAAAGAACCCCTCCAACGGCCGAAGGTCTGTCCGTGTCACCTCCCACGACGCCTTCACTCACGGTCTCTTCGTCGCCGATATTGCCCATATGCCTGGCAGCATCCCCGGTGTCTGGCCCGCATACTGGATGTTCGGTCCCAACTGGCCAACCTCTGGCGAGATTGATATCCTCGAGGGTGTCAACACTCAGACCGAGAACAAGATCAGTCTCCACACTGGACCTGGCTGCAGCATCACCAATGATGGCACCACCCAGGGCACCACCCTCGAGTCCGAAAACTGCGATTCTGCTGGTGCCGCCGCCGGCTGTGGCCAGAACACCTCAGACAACCAGAACTACGGCGATGGCTTCAATGACATCGGCGGCGGAGTCTACGCCACTGAGTGGACATCCGACCACATTGCTGTATGGTTCTTCCACCGTGGTCGCATCCCGCAAGATATCCAGTCCGGTAACCCAACCCCTTCATCCTGGGGTCCTCCCGCTGCCAAATTCAACGGCGGTAAAGGCTGCAACATCGACGATCACTTCAAGGAGAACAACATCGTCTTTGATACCACTTTCTGCGGTGATTGGGCTGGCTCCCCCGATGTTTGGGGCAAGAACCCAGAGACCTCGTCTTTGGGAGACTGCAAGGACTATGTTGCCAACAACCCTGCCGACTTCAAGAACGCATACTGGCTTGTAAACAGTATCAAGGTTTACGTCCAGGGAGGCTCGTACGGTGGTGGTGGTGGTAACGGAACCACCGGTGGCGGCAACTCTGGCAGCGGTAACAGCGGTAGTGGTAACAGTGGTAACGGCAACTCTGGCAATGGCAATTCAGGAAACGGAAATTCTGGCAACGGCAACTCGGGTAATGGAAACTCGGGCAACGGAAACAGTGGCAATGGCAACAGTGGCAATGGCAACAGTGGTAACGGCCAGAGCGGAAACGGTGATGGCCAGACCAACCCACCCAGCAGCACTCAGCCAGGACAAGGCACCCAAAACGGTGACGGATACTCTCCTGACAGTCAACAAGGCCAAGATAAAGGCAACAGCTATTCCCCTGAGCAACAGCAAGGCCAAGGTGGTGGCTACAGCACTGGCCAAAGTTACGATAATGGTCAGTACCATGGCCCCGGAGCCTACAAGACTAGCAAGCCCCAATCAAGCAGCACCACAAGCTGGGACGGAAGCGGTTGGCGAGTCGGGTCCAAGCGATCCGTCATCTCGAAGCGATATCTTGCATGAGCAGGTCGAGCTTCTAACCTTTACAAACATATAAGATACCCCCAGACACAACAAGGAAAGACATGGGTCGGCGGTGGCGGCTGTTTTTACATGGCATTCTAACAGATACTGAACATCTGTCAAAGCATTTTCGATTCTAGGTTCTTGTGTCAACCTTTACTCTTCTCAGTACATATATATATATATAGTCATCTCTTGGCTACAAGTGGTTGATGACCATGCGAGCATATGAAGTATTTAGCAATGCAAGTCTTACGAGCCTACTTTGGTCGTTTTCTGCCGTGTGAGTGCTGAACGTGGATAGATCACCAGGGGGGGCAGTTTTGAGAAGGGGAATGCTGATGATGTTGAAAGGCGTTGAGAATGCCCCTGTTTCTTAGTCATATTGATCGAGGTTAGCGGTGTTGGGGATGGAAACACCAAACCCGATATGGCCAGATTTTTACCTCTTCTTTGTGATTGGCATAATGAATGACTGTAGACATAACATTGGATGGATGGATGGATAGGCGGATGTTACTTTCGTCTACATATCGCGTTAGGAATAACATTGAATATTCCATGACACATCAGTAGAGTTGAATAAGCAGTTGTCACGTTGTTCAACAGTCGTTATCCTCACTTGGGCCTTTGGGTTGATCCTAAACGTTAGGCTAACTCAACATGGCATGCATGTTCATCATACTCGAAGCGGGTCTAATAACCAACAGCTACGCCTGATTATTAAACTGTCGGACAAGTTTGATAATTCTCCCTGGAACTCACGATGATTCAATCTCATCAGATATTCGTTGTTCTCAACAGTTTTGTTGTTGTTGTTGTTGTTGTTGTTTTGTGATTTAAACCAGAGGTCTCCATCCATCATCCATCAAACAATTCAATTGAGCTCGCTCTTCATCACAGTACGACTCCCTCCCTATCAACCACAATGGAGTCCTTTCTCGGTCTCGATCTCACAAGGAACTATTCCTTCTTCACAGTACGACCCTTCTCCCCTCCCCTCGTGATCAACGACATCTCAACTTAATGCATCCTATAGGTCCCAGCTGCATTCTTCATCATCACGTTCCCTCACGCCTACACCATCACCGCAGGTGCCAAAGGGACCTACGACAACTGTAACCCTCGCTCTCACAAGGACAGAATCGCCAATTGCCAGACTCTTGATAAATCTGTAGGTTTGGTTGTCTGATTGTCCATCTCTCGCCCACAACTCCCACTAACGATCCCAGCATAAACAATTCCTCCTCCGTGCAAAAGCTGCCACAGAAAACGGCCTCGAAACTATCAGTTGCTATGCCGCAGGCATCTTGGCCGCAAATTTCGCAGCTGTACCAGCGCCAACAATCAATATCCTTGGTCTCGGCTATGTTGTGAGCCGTCTCCTGTACAACATCGCTTACCTGTGGTTGCAGGATAATCCCCGACTATCACGGGTACGCAGTTTAGTTTGGGTAACCAGCATCGGAGTAATTATGTCGTTGTGGGTGAAGGCTGGAAACAAGATGCTATCCATGTAGAAAGAGAGCCACCTAAAGGCCAGTGTGTACCTAAATAGTCACCAGAGACTGTTGGCTTTCAGTCTTCTGAAGTACAACACTCCGAATTCCCGCCTGGTCTCACAGTTCTCGACCATTTTATTCGTCTTGTGCAATTCTTTGCCTCGGGTATAGTAGGTGGAAATCACATCTGCCGATTCCTTGCACGGCTCTTCGCCTACTGCACTTGTTCTCTGTTGTTCTAGTCCAGATGAAACCCAGCTGCAGTATCATGTGAGTGTTATATATCACCATCTGCAACGCAAACAAGTACCTGTTGGTTGAATCGAGTACAGGGAAGCCCTCTCGAATGTAGCACTTGTTTGACCATGATTCTCTATAAAGATCCCCTCCTCTCGTGGAAACTTTGACAACACAAAGTATTGACCCAAATTCGACGCAGAAGCTTCACAACTTTCGAAATGCTTCCCAGTAGCTATCTCGTTATACTCTTCGCCTCAACAGCCCTGGCTCTCCCTCACAACCCAGAGCCTTGCAACACGGATGCCCCTGCCGTCACAGCTGCTCCCAAAGAGTCGTTCGACTGTGATTACAGCTACTGTGGCGAGGACGACCATGTCTTGTGGTGCTTTCGCTTCATCCCTTTCACTACCATCAATCCTACCCTTGGTCCTCTTCCTGGCGAGACAAGAATCTCTATCGGCACGTGTGGTCCCAAGTCAGCAGACCCGAACCCAATGGATTGATTTCGGGGCGTAGGCTCCGCTACGGATGTTGTGCGTCATGGTGGTGGTGGATGGGTAGGCTTGGGTATTTGAGCCATGTATATCAGATGAAGACGAGCTGAGGAACGAATGTGATGTCTTGATCTAAGCTTAAACATGAAACTGTGGTTCTAGCATCCAACCTATAGCCCAGCATTATACCTAGGGCTTCTAGCATTAGGCACTTGTCAAATTAACCAGAAGAAAATCCGTATTCCATCCCTCCATATGCTCCTAGGCTTGGTAAATAGAGCCAAATGCGAATCCAAATGATTTACCCTACACCTTCCCATGCTTCGTTCAAGGGCGTGTACCTCTCTCTCTCTCTCTGTCTGTCTGTATTGATGCTCTCAGTGCATTTCGGCGCCTCCGAAACTCTTGTGTCGTGTCAGTGTGGCCCGGGCCTGGGTTGCTCTGGGAAGCTGGTCTTTGGTAGACTTGCGCCGGCTGAGGGGTCGGCGTTCAGGGACCTCTTCTGTCCCACTCCGACCCTGTTCGGCTTCGACCATAACATCAGCTGGTATAGAAGCATCATCCTTGATCTTGGCGACGAAGAATGACGCGATCAGGACACAAGCTCCACCAAGAGCGAACACAATAGAAATACTGTGGTCTCCCGGTGTGCCTCTGGGCTTCTGCCAGAGCTTGAAGATGATACTGGAACCAACAGTAGCAATGATTTGAGGTGCCGCAATCGCCATGTTGTGGATGCCGAGGATTACTCCAGCCTGGTCGATTTCTTCCTCCTCGTCATCTGCGGTTCCGTTATTGTTTGCTCTAGCGGCCGCCAATCGTGTCTTTTGAGCTCGTATCAGGGCATCTCTCCGGCTGATCTCGGCACTGATGATGGCCCATGGAGCCCACAGCGTCATCGCCCAGGTGATACCAACAAGACCAACAAGCACGGTGGCCGCCTTTACGGTCCGGACGAAAAGCGTGGCGAACATGCACCCAGCAAAAAGAAGGAGGGACAGGAACCAAGCACGCTTGAGAGTCAGGCCAGGAATGGCCAGCTTGTCTAACCACGAGGGCTTCTCATCCTCATCCGAGTCATAGTACCCTGCAGGGCTCTCTCCTGGAATACCGGTGACTGGCTGGCTATCGTACGTTGGAGCAATGAAAAATGGAAGGAATACATTTGTGAGCAAGCTCACGATCGAGTTGATGAGAAGTGCAAAGGTACCTATACGGGTCGCTTGCTCATACAGTTTGTTGAGCTGTTCCGGAGACATGTGGGGATTCGCTTGGAGGTATGGCTCGACGTAGATCTCTCCGATGTATGAGGACGTATAGAACAACAGAGGGAAGAAGCCGACCCAGGCGCAGAACTGGACCTCGCATACCCTCTTGATCTGAGGCGGTAGGCGTTTGATCGACTTGAAAATAGTGAAGAAGAAGGAGAAAACGCCTTGCTGTTCTTTCTTGGCCGGGCCGTCAAGTCGGGGATCCCTCTCTTTGATGAAGGCGGTGCTCACAAACACGGTCAAGGCAAGGGCAAAACATGCGATAGCACAGAGGATCTGGAATTGCGTCTTCCCAAGGAAGCCAAGGTGACGGGTCAGGTCGACATACCCAGCAATGTATCCAATGATGTTACCAAATCCGGTGATCCGACTGGCCATGGCATTGGCAGACTCTTGCTGGTGAGCTGGCGCACAGTCGACGATGAATGCACGAATGGACGCCTGGACGGTGTTGATGGCGAAATCGAGCACGTAAACGCCGATGACTGCGACCACGATAGTTGTTGTTTTCACATCTTTAGACTCTGGGTCAAAACCCATGAGTCCAGCAGCAGCGCCGACAATCTCTTTGGCCCAGGCAAGAAACAACAGGGAGAGGATGGTGGCAATAGATCCCCCGATCATGAACGGTTTTCTTTTACCCATGGGCAGACGGCAATTGTCGCTGAGCATACCCACATATGGCTGAACAAGGGTGCCGGTCAAGGGTCCAGCAATCCAGACGAGAGCCATGAGAGATTTGCTCAAGCCAAGAGATAGAAGATATGGTGATCCGTTTGAAAGCTCAACAGACCATGCGATCTGGAGACCACCAATGCTGATGGTCAATATGAGCAAATACCATATGCTCTTTGTGACCTGTGAATCGTCCGCTTCCCTATGGACATTGTTGGCGTCATTGTTTAGTAGAGGTGATTGTTCGTCGTAGCCTTGTGTGTTGGCTCCTCGAGCGATAGACTGGCTGCCTCCGGTTCTTCGTGGATTGAATGATGAGGGAGAGGCTGGTAGCCCGCCACCCCCAGTGTCTTCCGCGCCCATCACAGCGGCGTTAGACAAGAAGTTATTGTAACAAATTTGACAATCTGGAATCTGGAGGAGACACTCGATGCTTTAAAGACGTTGCTATCTAGCTGCAATAGGTAGGAGTCTGGATGCGGGGAGTGTGTAAAATGCGAACTCGGACAATTGCAACACGGCAGTTGTGTTGCTAACAGACGAAGACGGTGGCAGGGGCTGTATCCGTCCGCGACCTGGGTATCTGCGAATGGTTATCACAAGCAAGCAAGATAAAGGCGCTGGGGGGCCGATCTCATGCAGACACGAGACAATGTGACAAAAAGCACAGAAAGGAAACGGTGGACTTCAGAAGACAGTCGAGGAGACGTAGGTAAGGGAGACAAGGTTCTTGCTTCAGTGAGTTACCTTGGGTTGAGCTGGCTGGATCAATAAATGTCCGTCGAATATGAAACTATCATGTGGTCAAATCAAAAACTCACGCGACCGAAGCTGCGCCTGTCGCAGGCAGGCCTCAGAGTCAGGAGTCGGGCGTGGCAGGTAAAGAGAGGCCGGTACCGTGCTGTCAGAGTGTGAGAGAGGTGCGTCACTGGGCCCGCCTCCAATAGATCGTGACGTTAATCATCAATGTTCCTGATTCAAATCGCTGTCTGGGGCTTGCAGCGCGCTATGTCATTGGTCACGGCACATATCCAGGTGGTACTGACCACTGATGTCCCCTGTAGCTGCCCCGTTCGCTGGTGCTTCTTCTGTGGAACTTACCCTGTATATAGATTTCACTGCATCAGAAATGACGGATAAACTCGAAGACATGCAGCAATTTGAGCACGTCGAGGACCTTTTTGTCCGTGTCTCGAACTAATATTTACTGCACGTGGTGATGTGACGCTCAAAGTCGAAGCGGTCAGTTGGATACTTCTGTTGAACTGAGCCTAATAAGCTGGCTGTGTGTAACCCATCAGCTTTCAACTCCGCTTGGGATAATGTATGACGACGTCCGTCCAAAAAATGTCCGTAAATCACGATGGTTGTTCGCACTAGCTCCTGACATAAGTGGTCCTCTTTTACCAGGACGGGAGCCTCAACAGACGTTATCGAGTAGCTTTGTGCTAATGCTCTGTATCTTATCATAACATACCTACCAATTATCTTATCTTATCATTGTTTAGTTGTAATCGATAAATAGGACATTTTGGCAGTACGTTGCACTGAGTCCTTAGGTAGAATATCAGAAATAGGTATCCACGTCAATACATCATAGATGCCTCAGGCTATTATTTATGAGCGACAGGAATGCCTGCAGCTTGGCAAAAGTAAACCCTGAACATCCGGATCATGTCACCGAGAACAACGCAACCACCATGATGCAACCAGATATTTCCAGACGTACTGCTCACGATATCTTCCCCCATGCACTATGTACGCATGTCAAGTCAAGAACAACAAGCAGGAATCACCTCGCCACAGGACGGAGTTACGCCGAACAAATTCGAAGCGAGAAGTGGACCAGAGGGGTGATAAGACTTGGCGAGACTCAGAGATGGTCCACTAAGACGATAATCAGCGAATAGCACCGGCTTAACCTGAGCCTGAACGGCTGTCGACGGGTTCAATTGACAAGGTCGATGTTATCCCCACACGCCAAGACCGGGCGCCATTATCTCTTAATTATGTACTATGTATCATCGCCAACTCCGGTAGCCAAGAAGTGAACATACGAGAAGGAAAACGACACAGAGAAAGAAAAAAGAAAGAAAGAGAAAAAAATTGCTCAGAGGCAAGTCAAGTTTAGCCGCCTCAATCAAAACCTCCCCACCAACCATCAGAAGAAGGTGTCATGTTCGATAAGCTCAAACTCCAAGCAATTATCCGCGCTGCTAACGGGATGCCAAGTCCGGCGCCGAGAGCGGGTGGCGAATGAGACATGTTGTGGGCTGCAACGGGAGCCAACGGGAACGGCGATAGTTGAGTGCCTTGAGGTTAGAGGTCAAGACCGCGACAAACACCGGTCCGGTCTCTGCCGAATTCCGTCCTGCCCTGCCCGTAATGGTTGCAGAAACGGAAGAAGCAAACAGTGGGAAAACGCTGAGTTTTTCTACCTACCAGCCAGAGAGATTCAGTAATTGACTTGCCGGTCGGTTTATTAGCAGTCCTGCAAAGTTGCAAACTCTGTTGACGGCTCCAACGGCTCCAACTGTCGCGCGACCGGCTACCAAAGACAGATGGGGAGTTGGCTGACCTCGTTCACAAGTATTAACCGAGCAAGGGCCGATTCCCCTGTACGTAATTCGCATTGGGTGGTTCGAGCGTGAAGAAGGATCTCCGTGCAAGGATAATGTGCATCAACGTGCTCAGTCTTGGCAGAGTGTAGCATTCATCAGAGACGACTTCATCAGACTGCAGATTGCTCGGTGCCTGGAAGTGGAAGCTAGCCATTGAATTGGATGTCATTATGTACCTGTCCTAGAGTCGTGGATCTCAGGCTTCTCAGCAACCTGAACCTAGGAGCTCATAACGGAGTGAGATCAAACGGACTCAGCTCGGCGTTACCTTCTAACAACGACGCTACCTAATGACTTGCCACGCAGAGTCTAGCCTGTGGGTCTGTTCACGACCCCGTCTAAACCCCAAGAACCCCCAACAATGCTAGTGGGCGAGTGGGCATAAAGTGGATGACATCGTGCGGGGGCCCTCCACGGCTCGACTTTGTCGCCGACCCCGTGT